TGGCACTGCCGGGGTAGCAGGTGTATGCACTGTTCCAGCAGGCGGAACAGTCACGATTGAGATGCACCAGCAGCCCGGCGACCGAACATGCACCACGGAGGCCATCGGCGGCAACCACGACGGTCCTGTCATTGCATATCTCTCCAAGGTGTCTGACGCCACCACAGCTGATGGCAGCAGCAGCTGGTTCAAGATCTACCAGAACGGATTGGTTTCGACCGATTACTGGGGTACTGATGTGTTGAATGCGAACTGCGGGAAGCAGGAGATTACCATCCCAGCGGATATCGCCCCGGGTGATTACTTGTTGAGGGCGGAGGTTATTGCCTTGCATGTGGCTGGTATGTTCTCCTCTCAAGATGGCGATAATTTTAGAGGCGGTACTGATATATGGTGATGATATGTAGGTAGCACTGGTGGTGCACAGTTCTACCTGTCCTGCTACCAGCTCCGTGTTACAGGTGGTGGAAGCGCGAACCCTGCCGGTGTCTTGTTTCCGGGTGCTTACTCTGCCTCTGACCCTGGTATTCTTTTCAACTTGTACGGCAGCTACACCACATACACAGTTCCTGGCCCCACCGTAAGTCCTCCTCTACCCATTTCGTTCTCCGTGGATATAACCACCTACTAACAACCACCCAGGTCTATGGTTCGTAAATATTTTCAAACTTCTTCCCTTTCCCTGAAAAGAAACCTGTATAAATTAGCATTTATGCCATTATTCCCACACACACACACATAAAAGTCCAAGGCAGCTTCGAGCTGGCCGCTGCTACAAGCAGATACTAACACCTTTATCAAACAGCCGTCGGAGGAGCTACTGCCTCAGCTACCGCCACCGCCAGCGTTACTCGCACGACCACCACCGCCGCTGCCACCTCAAGCGCCGCAGCTGCAGGAAACATTGCCAAGTATGGACAGTGTGGTGGCAGTGGATGGACTGGTACTGACACTTGTTCGGTAAGTTTCTCCGCCTCGGATTCGGAAGGGTGTTGTGCTGACACATGGTTTGTTTTAGGCTGGTTCTACTTGCACGAAGGTCAACGACTACTACTCACAGTGCTTGTAGATAAGTAGTTTGTTGGTGAGTGCAGATTATAGGACAGGATAGGGGATGTTGTAATTATTGTTATTGGGGGTTTAGGGGATAATTTGTGTATACTTGCTTCAAAAGTAAATCTTAGTGACTGGTTCATAATATGGATATCTTTATCATAGTTGTTCTCTGTTGTGGTTGAGAGTCCTGGCTGAAGAAGTTGCCCATGTGACGTCCGTTTCTTAGTTGATCTCTTGTTGCGATGTCCTACTGGCTCGATCAACGGATTTGTATTCTATTCAAATTCATTGTCAGTACCAGAGACCCTATCGTCAGCAACTGTTGGAAATAGATACTTTGTGACGGAAAACTGATTGAAACGCGAACTAAGGTTGATGACTGTATGAACACAGATCCGGTATTCGGTGGATCATGGAGAACAGAGCGAAGCTCATGTATTGATAGAATGCGGCGCGACGGCGGAAACCCGATCAGAGGACCGCGACCACAACACCATTGCTAAACTGCTCTGGACGGAAAAGGGTATCGAGACTGCGCTGAAAATTTGGAAGCGGTTCACGAATGGCGACATGAGAGAGGAGGGAGATACGAGGATGGAGGGGAGGAAAGGAGAGAAATGGGATATGGATGGGGAGGATTAAGAGACAGTACTTAACCTTTCCTTTGTCTATTTTCACTTGTATGTTACGTCAAGTTTGGATTCTGTGAGAGGTAGTGGAGGCAGGTGGGAAGTTCAGTGGTATAGTGTGATATTGCCATAACTGTAAGGTTGCACGTAATTAATGAATTAAAAAAAAAAAAATTTCGGCGGATCATGGAATGTCACTCACTTTCCCCTTGATCCGGATTCTTATTTCCAAAAGATGCTATTGGAACTGAATTGAGATGTGCTAATAACTTGATTAGTTGATAAGGCTGAGAGCAAGGAGTCTATAAGGTTGTACACAAAACTGAACAGGATAAAGTGCCTCGATGACGCACGTGTTCTGGACCTCGCTGTCATCTGAGCTAGGCTTAAGCCATATTATGACCACCTAGATTATAGGCGAAATCTGAGGAGCTGTCCCGCGTTGTATGGATACATGTAGTAGCAGCTCTCAGTGAGGCTTAAAAAATTGTCTGGTAGGGGAATGTCTTTTGTTATTGGGGATGGGTTTATGGGCGGGAGGTGGGTCTATGGATCGGGTCAACTCGATCAAGAACAACTAGCCGGGAATCTTCGGGGTCGGGGGGAAGGAAATATCGTCGGGTGGTAAACGGACACACGTGCTCTAAATAAACTTTGACCGTTGCGAGAGTACGGTTCATGTGTCTTTAAGCTTGATTCTCTAGACCACGAACATTCAACTGGCTATGTAGTCTGCACTCCTTAAGCTTGATCTCTACTCTACCTCTGTCTTCTGCACTTTCCAACAAGCATCATGAAGATATACATTGCCCCCAAACGGCGAACCGGATGCGGGCATAATCGGCAATATTACTGCCGGATGTGATATATAATACGAGCCTATCTTCAAATTAACGCCGCAGATAACAGCTGATGGCATTCGCATAATATGGCTAACCGATTCTTTCATAAACCTAAGCGAATACTACATGTAGCATACAGAGCTGCCCCCTCATCGAGATGAGAATCGAATCGAGGACGAACTGTATATATACATACACGTACATGTACCGGGTGTGCACGTTAAATACCGAGACGCCTTGAAGGATTGGTTGATTTTGTATGGGAACCGCCCATGGTAACCAAAAGCAGCCAATGAATTTTGGCCTTGGCCTCAAAATTTATATGGTGGAAAAAAATACCGAGACGGTTTATCTATCTTCACTTAAAAATTCAAATATTTTCCTAAAATACAAAAAAATAACCACTGAATATCCCTTGCTCACAGGTTCACCTGAATACTGATTCGAAGTTATCAAAGAAGTTTTGATGAAGTTCGAAAAGAACAGGAGTAGAAAAGAGGTTGAGGAGGTTGCGGGGCAGACTGTCCAAATACCTGCTTGGCTGCCAAGTGTCATTTTAATTATATCAGCCCAATCAGATTCCTTTACAAACCCTCACTTTTTAAAATTCCCCAAAAAGGGGTTCTCAGTACTTACCCTCAACCCCCGGTACATGTACATGTATGTACATTGTTGAATCCCGTGATTAAAAATCATACTAAAAACCTCCAGCCATACATAACTCCAGTCTTCGACAGTCCCCGGGCCCCCTGATTCAACTAGAAGTATAGTACATGTAGGAACATCGAATATTAACTGGGCAGGGGATACGAAAACACAGTGAGACTCGGCCTTGGCATTGTAATTTGAGGACCTATTTTAGCTCGGCCCCTTTTGTGCTACCGTTACACACGCATCGGTAGTTAGAGATTGATCAACCCCACCTATGTAGAGTGTTATCGAAGGGGTTGAATTCAAGGGACTGGAAACCTGCTCCCTAGCTGAGGATGCCTTAATGATTCTTTGGTTAACTTGTGGTACGTCTTACAAGCGTATCCGAGTCCTGCCGAGTACGTATCGAGTGATTGAATATGAGTCTTTGGAACGTCAACAAGCTAACTAGGCTACAGCCTGAGCAGCTTGCTGCTAAGTAGGGGATGGGTACGAGACTAGCTACACCCGTACAATTCGATGATAATACCCGTCAGCTTATATTTAATGACTGGATAGCCTACTTCGGGTGATTAGAACGTAGGAACATTTACACTTTCCGGGCCGGCCGGGTGGTTGGTTGCCATCTGATTGCGCTTGGAATGCTTATCGATATATCCTGTCCGAATGACTTTTCGAAGTCCAATGGGCCAGAGAGCTAGGGAGCTATCCTTTCCAAAGAGGGTAACGAAAGGTAGTAGTACACATTGGAATGTGATCTTATTAGAGTCTTTTATCCACACTCACTCGAAGGTTGAAAGATGGGTATCGAGGAAAAATGACTGGGGGTTATATGCACAAGCCAAATGGAGGAGAGAATATGCAGTAGTCCAACCTGGAAGAACCAATAAACTGACGGGACTCATTCTTCTCTCGGTGTAATTCTGAGAAATTAGACAGATCATATTTCCTCAACTCACTAAAATCCAGGGTTAGGTCCTTTCATTCAAAGATCCTGGTCTTTCAACCTTCGAGTGAGTGTGGATAAAAGACTCTATTGGTGGTATCTATTATTTGGTTTGCTCTCGTACTGACAAACATCGATCAACTGGTCGCCATGGCCAGTAATCAGCGAGAAAGTAATACTGTATTACATTTACTCTAAACCAGTTTGGTGTGGGGAAAGCCAAGAGGCAAAATTATCTCGTATTCGTTATTGCATGTATGCAATATGCCCAACCCTTAATGGTCTTTAATGGAGATACTATTATATTATTGTAACACCATTGATATTCCTTGAATACGAACTACTAAGTGGTCATAGTAAATCGACTTCCACGATGTGTTAATCGATCAAGCTCGCATCTATCCTCACCATATATATCTACTTTGATACGAATAAGTACCGCTTTCAGTGCGTACGACACTGCTTTTCATATATCAAATCTGGCTATAATAAACAACCCGGTAAGTATGCACCCTGCCAATTCCACTTCTGGACATACATATACACATCACTGAACCGGAATGCAATATCAGACCAAACCTAAATACTTTAATGCCTGTCAACAAACCTCGTGTTGCCATGATCGTGCATCGACTTCCCCGTCTTCGGCTGCGCACCCAGGGTAACGGACCAGGCCTGTCTGTCATTATGATATCAGGTCGTATGAGCTGTTCCCCATGCGTTCGTGTTGAACGCAGGTACGATTATTGAACAATTCAAGCATTATATACAGCTACCCGCCTGCACAACAATCCTGCAATACCCATGGTATAAAAGGCCCCAGTTCCCCCTCCAAATCCACAACTACGCACTATACTACATCCCCCAGCCTTCAAGATGCAGCTCTCAAACTTCCTTACCATCCTCGCCATTGCCCTCCCTATCTCCATGGCCGCGTCGCTCCAGCGACGTCTCGAATGCAGTGACCCAGGACATCCGTGCAATACCTACTATTCCCATCCAGACTGCTCTCCCGACTATGTCAAGACACTGAAAGAGTACGTTATCTAACTACAGATCCGCCCACCCGGCCCGTTCATATAATTCTAACGTCTCCATCTACATAGGTGCCAAGCAACAGGTTGCATCCAGTGGTTCCGGGACCCGCTTGAACACTGCACGAAATGTGATGCCCCGGATAATGCGTGCAATACGTACACAAACTACAAAGAGTGCTCCCCAGAGTATATTGCGGACGTGAAAGAGTATGTTGATCATGGCTGCTCAACTGCTTAAGTCGTGGTAGTAGAGGTGGAGAATGCTAATGTGGTCGTGAATAGATGTCAGTATAACGGGTGTATTACTTGGATTAGGGACCCGCTTGCGGATTGTTACTAGGCGGATAGCTTTTCAATCGATAGGCACCATATTTTCAATCCTATGTCGTAAAGCAGTCAGAGGGAGGGGGTGAAACTTGAATAGTGGCCAGAGCTTGGCGTTTCTTATGTGGTGTGTTTTGCCAGCGTTTTGGCTGCGATATGTTGGTGGTGTTGTGTTGGGCTTTTATGGACTTCGATACCGTGAAATCGGCTTTCCTATGTACACAGTGCGATCTATGTACAGTAAACACAATGCAACTATATTTCATAAGACCTCTCCTCTCTATAAGCGAGAATTCGGGGACCAATTTGGCCCATTGTGATTGATACCACTGATCGGTGACTTCTGAGTCATATAGGTTGACGTAGTGTTGGGCACGAGCCTGTTCGAGACGAGCCTGGCTTGGAGCTCGAGTTAGCTCGGATTGTTGAAATAAAGACTCGATGTGTTCGAGCTCAGGACCTAGTCCCGAGCCTAAGCTCGAGCTTCCATTATTATACTAAAAATGGTCATCTCGATATAACTTCTATTTTTAAAGACCAACTTTGGGGATCTATTTTATTATGTTGCCCATTTTTTCATTATTATGATGTTAAAATCAACCCATCACCAATAATTGATAAGGCTCGAGCCTAGACTCGAGCTTTCCCAATGGTGGATCGAGCTGGCTTGCGCTCATAAGAAAGAGAGCTTGAGGCATTCGAGCCTAAAGCTCGAGCTCAAAGCTCGAGTCAGCTCGGCTCATGCCCAACACTAGGTTGACGGGTTTGGTACAGACATAGCCCGTCACTCGGAAACTGATGTCGCAGGCATCTATCAAAACCACGAGCCTGTTGCAAATACATGTATGATATCTAATCTCTTCAATGGCCAATAGTGAAGCGAAGTTTTTTCGGCGTTTTTAGAAGGGTTTGTAGTATTATTTTGATCATTTGGACTGCGGTGGTCGCAAGCGGAGTACAGGTGAGTAACATTTATACCTATGCCTACAGACAAAACCAGAGGATAGATTCTAATCTACACATTTCCCGATATTATTCACATTTCCCTAATGCATTTCCCCTATGGATACACGTTATTCTGATTCCTTTGATAGTTTTCCGTAAAGCTTCATTTCAAGATCTTGAGATAATGAGCTCTTAATTAAATGACATCTGTAAAACGGTACATAAAAACACCTCATACGTATATAATAGTTGGGAAACGCAAATAACCTCCAAGAAATGTATTTGTTGGTATATTAGTAGGCCCGAAAATCATCGGAGTAACACATCAGGGAAAGGTGTATAGTGATGTTGACCGAAGCTACACATTTCACTGACGAATTAACCGATATTGCTTTCGATTAGGCCAGTACACATACATGTATGCTTACTCCCGGACCGGCCTGCACCAATCCGCCTTCTAACATCCCAAATTGGAATGATTAGTAGGAGATACAATGCTAGCGCCTCCCACAAGATCGAACACTGCCAAGAGGCGGAAATAAGGCGTGTTTCAATCATTGACACCTAAGCCTATCTGACCCCGGTGTCCATTGATCATGATTGATTGATGATTCATTAGACCCCGGTGTCCAATATATATAACGCTCACGATAAAATGCACCAGAATAAAATAAAGACTGGTTCATAAGGCATACAAAAAGATTCGGGGCTTTGCCCTTATAACAATTGTTTTGAGTGGTACCCGGAAGCCCATTAATATTGAACGAGAATGGTTTAAAAAGTAATTGCAATATAAACAAGAATTCTAAGATGAATGTACATAACTATACCCTCTTGGCGTACCCGCACCCACACCTGATCACGTCATCAGATATCCCTCCGAGTTAACACTCTATTTACAAGTAGCCACAGGACCTCCAGGGGCCGTGAAAGTGGCTGCATCAAAGCCATAGTAGAAGTCGGAGATATAAATGTTGTCATCAGAAGCCTAGTATATGTGTCAGTACGTGCGGACTGGATAGAGTCGTAGGGGTTTGTATTTACCTGGTAATCCCCTGGTAGGGTAATGGTAGGAGAACAGCTGCCTCCTGGTCCAGTGATTCTTAGTTGAGCGCAGCCTGAAATCCACCTGTTAGCATTGTTTTAACATAAAGAGGTTGAAGATTGAAACATACCAATGTAGAACTGAGTTCCTCCCAGAGTAGTGGATGAGTGTAAAGCCTCCATCTCAGAACGCAACTACAAGTTTCCATTAGCACTCACTCATTGAAGATTAAGGTTTTTCGGTTTACACACCAGATAATCTCCGCTAGCCAAATTGCTTGGCAGCTTGAACGTATGCATTCCACCATTACCCTCCATAATAACATTCGCCCACACTCCATCAACCTGGTCCGTCTCTTCAATCTTGGTCCAGCTTCCAATACCCGTCGCACTTTGTGCGTCTGACACCGGCCCGTAAAGCATATGTGTGATCGGGCCCGGGTGAGACGACAAATCCCACAGCACTGTGATCTCGTCACCAGCATTGGCGGTACACACGTCGACTGAGGTGAACGGGGTGGCATTGCCGTTGACGTTACAGGTTATATCGTTACTTGTGACATCGGTCACGGGGTTGTTTGAAGGGGGCATACGGATGCATTTTTCGTACCCAGTGGTGGCACCGTTGACCCAGAGCTGGTGAAAGTTCTGGTGGGCGGAGGCAAGTCCAGCGAGAGCGGTAAGGAGGAGAGTGACTTTGAGCATGGTGGAAAATTATTGATTTACAGGTACTTTGAGGATTTTAGGGAGACAGATCTTGAGAAATGACAAGCCATTTATACAATTAATTGGAACGCCAACTACTAAAGTCTTTAATATCAACAAATATTAAAGGCACGGAACTCGGGCGGGGACTAGGGCCTTGAAGCCGCCGTCAAACACCGAGGTTTCCGAGAGAGGTGGTTCGTCTGGTCTATAATATGTGAAGCTATAGTAATAAGTTGAAGCATATAGTGAAGGACTGACGCACGGCTATGTACTAGGTGGTAACAGTTACAGATAGAAGCATAAATTGATCAACATGCAAGCTTCGATGCTAGATTCCAGACAGGAAAACAAGGATCCTAGACCTTGATTGTGGATAGAAGAAATCCCGGCGCTTGGACATCAGGCGTTTGTTCCCCTTGCCGAAATTTCAACGCCGGTACTGGAAATCCTGGGATTATTGAGGAGACATTATCTAATTGTTTCTGGTTTATAGGTTTTGTGGACAGGCCACCGCGTAACTCCTAATTATTCAGTCTTAACGCCAAAAAGATTATTAAACCTCTTCTGGAAAAGTCAAATAAAAGTGGCAATGGGGAATTTTCTTGCCCTTATGTCCTAAATCATTCTAAGAGTAATAGATCAGCAATGATCGGAAGGTTTTCGGGAGCTTGACAGTTGGTTCCATTAAAAGCCAGGATTACGACGGGAAGTTGATATCCGTACTATATAAGGTGGAAACCCTCCCTCGTAGCACAGATAAATAAATAAAGAAAAGGGCCAGTAGCTGCTCCTCACATGGGCATGCTTTAGACGTTGATGATATTTAGCACACATCTAATTGACGAGAAACTTAACCATTGTTGCCAAATCCGATCCTCAATCACTGAGGAGTTATCTACAATCTCTATGGAAAATCACCTTGTGACCTCTTCCAACATTATTTTCGATTCAACCATGCTTTCGACTGTAATGGGCCTTCGTCTGGGATATTTATAATTACTAAGTGCAGTACTTGGGTGAGATAACAAGAATTATGAGTTTTGGATCATCGTGACTCACATGACCATTTGTCTCGATACCTTTTTACCAGTACAACATATGTATCACGAACTGAACCGAAGGTTTGAATACGAACACTGCTTCTATGTAGTTATAGTGTTCTGGCGTCTTTCCGGGTCCCCGCCAGAGGTTAAGATCCGCATAGGATTTGGCCACATGTTTCCCCGCATATATATTTCGGCTAGATGTCCCGAAAGGTCTGAATACATTTTCTGGGGATTCAGGCACTCCTTGCCGCCGGATTTAGGCAACAGCGAGGATCACGTTTCCGCTGAGCTCAGAAATTCGACGAAGAGCTCCTGAAGAGTTCAATAGGCTATCTGGTCGACTGCCTGCTTTCAAATTCCTAAATTGAGCAGGAACAGTTCTATTTGTAGGCAAAACTTTCTTAATTTGGAGCCACACCAAAGGGCAACCCCCAACAAGAAAGTTGGGAATATATATCTATTCACATCCCTCAATGGTTAGTTCAGCCAAGGAATACCAAGCCTTTGAGCCTCATCCAGGGCCTTCCTCCCACGAAAAGCTTATGTGTCCTAAGGTTTTGGGAGACTTAGCAGTTAACCATCATATACCCATTCAATTGAACATTCGCCTGCTATACCCCCTTCAATGCATCCCTACAATCCTCCAGACCTCTTTCTCCCTGACTTCATCGCTAACGATGTTTCCTCCATCAGATTGTGTGCGACCTTTGGGAGTGTTTTGGCCGGCGTTGTTGGCAGCCACCTAATGTTATGGGGCGGACATTTGTCATTGAAAGATAAAGGAATAACCAGTTGGTTTTTGGTTTGTTAGTGATGGAATTTATCCCGAATTCTGTGTTTGATCATGAGACTTATTGTGTGTTAGGTGGATTGTTGCATGTTTTCTTTGAGGGTAAATATTGAGCCTGTCTTTTTGAGCTCGCCAGCCAGCTTGCAATTCCAATACTCATTTGGGAAAGGCTATTTTCTCGTCCATCATGCGACCCTATCGACTCGAACAGATTTTCCCGCTCAGCTATGGAAGGAATATTCACTTTCTGACTCGCGTTATCTCTCTGGCGACAAGTTTGTTCTTGCTATCGAGAGCATAACTATTGTACGTGATCTATTCGTCGCATAAATTATCACTGTGTTGAAACAGGATTTTTGTAGCGAGCTCGAGACTAATGCAAGGAAATTTTTAGATTCTATGGGGCCCTCTATGTCTTCTGACTTCAAGAGCTATAGTAAAGGAAAGTTATTATAGACATCCACTCCAGCTCTTGGCGAGCTT